TCTGCTTCCTGATGCACACTTTGGCAGAACCATGGATTGCATTTAAATATTTACATATTACAACCTCAAAACAACATTCGAAAATCTGAAGCTGCTCAGCGACACGTCATGGCCATTGGCGAAGTCGATAATGTGCTGTTGATCGGCAGCGATGGCTCTGTAATCTTCCTTTCTGTGCTTCTGGACTAAAGTGTCCAACCATGCGACGCATTCGATGCCACAGACCTGCACTGACAGCTGATATACTTACAAAAACTAGACAATTGAGTGTCACCTGGACCAATGAGTCAGTTCAGCACAGCGACTTGGAAGAGAGCCATGACCAACGCAATCATGGCACACGTCCTGTGCCATCCCGCCGAACAGCAGATCCTGACAATTGAAGGACCACATAGGAGGGTTATAATTATCCTAGTCCCTGAACCTAAAAAAAACCTCCAAGACCTTCAGCATTCAAAGACTCGAGAAGCCTGAGCAACTTGTCGGGAAAATTGAGGATGAAGTGGAGCGTCTTGAGCGCTGCGGGATGACTATACACCTCGGTCATTAGGGTGAATTCTTATTAAAATTAAAATTAATTATTATACAACTCGATTCATGAAGCAACACCTGTTCGACCAGGCACCTGTTCCATGATATGCTGGTATAGGCCACATTCTCTGCCAAACCTTCCTCCTTGGGCCTCCCTTGGCTTCCATCCATGACTGTCACTGTCACTGCCCTCAATTGTCAATTGAGTGAAACTGAAATGAATGAAAAATGTACAAATGTCATGAAGCTTCGACACGTGCATTTGCACCTGCAAGCGAACCTCCCATTTGTTAGAAAAGTTACTTTCCTTGTCCAACCTCTCCAACAAGTCTGCCATCTGAGGTGATGGACGATTTCCATGGGCGGCAACCCCATAACCAACGATCACCACTCTCTTCGGCCAAACGTAGGTTTTGCCGCCCACCAAAACTGACCTCGAAGTGTTGGAGCAGAAAGCAGCTGTCGAAGAGCTCGGGTTGTCAATAGAGCTCACATCGTCATCAGTAGCATCAATAGCCGGTTCGTGGTCTCTTGTTTCTCTCGGGGTCCTTCCACTTGCGTCCCCAATCGTCCGAGTCGTCTTCTTCTTTGCCCCGCCCCAAGTCACCGGAACTTTTCGTTGAGGCGTCTGCGGCTTTCTTGCTGCCGTAGTTCCCGACATCGAATTGGCTGTATGCTATCCCCAAGCTTTGATTGTGCCTCGAATGAACACGGAATTGTAATGATGAAAGTTTAAGCGCCAAAAAAAAGGGCTGCATCAATCTTTGCCAAAGTGCTCTCTAACGTTCTTGTTACAGGCTGACAGAATCCAGGCTTCTGGTTTCTGGATGCCGTCTCTTCCCCGTTTGAAAGCTCTCCTCAAATGTTGTTGCATTGAAACAATGACATGTCAGGTAGCAAATTATTCTCAATTGGAAATTGTCTGAAATGTACTGCAGGTGTCACAAGATCAACAGCCTTTCTCGGGCAGAGCAAATAGAGCAAGTAGATTGCTTGCTGTGCTTTCCGGAGATCCTGGCCCTGCTCCTCGAGACACAATTCCTCAGGGAGATGCTGGAGGGCCACACTCGACATAGCACAACTTGAGCCAGAACTGCAGCATTAGGTTACAAGGGGCTCACAATCAATCACCAAGCAAGCTGACACACACACACACACACTCACTGAGCCTTCCGCGCAAATATCACTCACATGCCTTCTGAAACGACTTCACCTGGCAAAATGCAAATTTCATGCCAGCCCTGCCCCCCCCCCGGCTCTGTCAAAACATGCCAGGCAGACCACTTGAGCCAGAACTGCAGCATTAGGTTACAAGGGGCTCACAATCAATCACCAAGCAAGCTGACACACACACACACACACACACACTCACTGAGCCTTCCGCGCAAATATCACTCACATGCCTTCTGAAACGACTTCACCTGGCAAAATGCAAATTTCATGCCAGCCCTGCCCCCCCCCCGGCTCTGTCAAAACATGCCAGGCAGACCTTGCCATTGATGCTACCACAATAGTTATACTACCGCAAATCATGCTACCACAATTAGCGCTACCACAATTGTTGCTACCACAATTGACAAGTTGATGCTACCAGAACTGATGCTACCAGAATTGATGCCACTGCAAAATCGAATCAACCAAGCCAAGCAATGCCATGCTGACTACCACAGTTGCTGCTACCAGAACTGATGGTATCAGAATTGATGCCACCGCAAAATCGAATCAGATGCCACCGCAACAATCGAAGCAATCAAGCCATGCAATGCCATGCTGACTACCACCATTGACATTGATTGATGCTACCAGAATTGATGCCACTGCAGCATCGAATCAACCAAGCCAAGCAATGCCATGCTGACTACCACAATTGATTGATGCTACCAGAATTGATGCCACTGCAGAATCGAATCAACCAAGCCAAGCAATGCCATGCCGACACAGTAACGGCCTCCCCAGCGTCTTTGCAAACACGAGTGTGCTCTGACAGTCATGCGGACTGGAGACTTCTTTAAATGCCACCCCCATTCGGCCAAGATGGGGTCACCCTGCTGAGTATGCGCCGTCTTTGCCCTATGCGGAGCGCTGAAATCCGATTGCCTTGCATACCGGCCCGCAAGAGGACAGGTCATGCTCGTCATCGAGTGCACCGGAATCGCTGCGCAACGCGCCGGTTACTGAAGACCTGTCAATGAGGCACAGCATAAGATGCCATGCGGGGCCATGCCGGCAAGCAGCAGTGATCGAAGTTAATATTTCGACCGTGGTGTGGGTACGTGGCATAGTATTTATTAATAGTAGCGAGGCCTTCCCTGCAATCTGTGTGCATTTCACCCCGCGGCGGACACACCACCTGGCTGGACAGGCGAGCAGCACACAGAGTAAATCCCCAGCGCCCGGCCAGCGACGCTGTCCCGCACGGATCAAGGACCCATTGCTCACGTGGTCCGAGCCCGACTGGAGCGGTCTCTAAGACCACTCTGAGCTTGGGCGTGCAGGATGGGTAGGGCGAGTCGAACCAAGCCAAGCAAGCCAAGCAAGCCAAGCAAGCCAACCAAGCAACCAAGCCAACCAAGCAGTGGCACGTGACAAAGGACCACGTTTCAGCTTCCAACACATCCGGCTTGGACAGAAGCGAACACCATCGCTCAATACATCCGGCTTGGACAAATGCAAAAATGTTTGGCAAAAAAGGGTTTCCTCACGCTGGCTTCCCAGTGTGCTTTAAAATGTTTTGGTCAACGGCCGTGCCCCCGGCACTGAAATTCCTAATAAAATACATAAATAAGCTAATACTACAACAGCTTGAAACCTTAAATCGGTATATTGAACTGCACTATTGAGGAAATTGGTTTTGGCCTTCAAACCCCCCTGATCCAGCCCCCAAGGATCCAACCCTCAAAACGAGTGTGTGGATCCTTTGTGTAACTACAGTTTGCAACTTGCAACTTCTCTAATCTAGCTGCGCGGCGTGACTACCCAAACCATCCTTAAGCCTTATGTCTTATGTCTCGCAGAGGTGGAAACATTAAACTATGAAAAATGTAGAGTGTTGGAGATATTGCCTTAAAGACTTAATCATGACTTAATAGCCTGAAGCCTGAAGTCGACTCAAACCTTGCACCTCGCCTTGAAAGCTTCGGGGCCTTTTGTTGTAACGACAGTCAGAGCCTGAGGGGAGACTGGACAAAGCGAAACTTCGCACAAGTCAAGCGAAATGACTCAAGTACTAGTTACTAGTTACTACTCAAGTTAAGTAGTGAGTAGTGAAGTTAGTGAAACGAAGAGACATGATACGCACACCCCGACACGACAATGGCAGAATACTCGGCATGGCCACAACATGACCTCTACTAGACTTGGGACTAACGACATACCACACTATTACACTAGCTGCTAGTCACTAGCTAACCACACACCTGGCTCACGACACGACAGGCCGCAAACCGCAAACACAAACCGAACTTCAAAACTCCACAGCCCAGGAATCTGTAAGTCCCAAAGCTCTAACTCTAACATTCTTTTGAGTTGTAGAACTTACGAACTTAAGAAGGCTAAAGACCGTAGCCGCCGAAGCCAGGACCGAGCCTAGTTACAACTCAAGTAGCACTGAATAACAAGGCCGAAGGGTAGGCAAGGAGTTGCTGAGCTGCACAAGTGTCGCAACGCCGCAACGAGTGCCGACACTCTTTCTAACTTTCTGGCTGCACTCTGTACATCTGCTGGTGACAGGGAAAACGAATGCTTTGTAAAAGCCACTTCGAATGCACTGCATGTTCTGAGAACGGATATTATTGCAGTCCTGCAGTCCGCATTCCTACAGCATGGATTACGGCTAGAACGGCTAGCGGCTTAGGGCTTCGGCTTGGGGCCAAACGATCAAAATTTGCGATATGCATCTATATTTGTTGCATACACGGTCTGGCCCAAATCGTTGCGCATCTGCGCACATAGGACATAGGCTGACAGTGGGATTGTGGAACTCTCCACAAGTTCTGGCCCCAAGCTGGAGGGCTGGGAACGGGATTGATGCATATGACACATGACAGGGGTACCTGGACTCTAGACTCTAGAGACTCTAGAATCTACAACGTCTCGAACAAGTGATATCATCTCACTCCTTGTTACTTGATTGCTTTCGTTGATTGTGCACTACAAAGACCAAAACACGAAGCAGACGTAACAAGACCAACAGACCAACACTGACCAACCCGGACCAACCCAACCATTCACTAAATAAGTTACGACGGTTACGACTACGACTACGAGTCACCTGACTAATTGAACCAAGTTCGTATGGTCATATAGCCGCATATAGCCAAACCAAGCAGCCACGACAACGCTACATTCTCTACAGTAACTATGAAGTCATTAAGTATTAAGTAGCTACTAACATCAATGCAGCCAGCGGTACATGAAGTGTGTAAGCATCCACCAGCAGCCAGTGCTGCCGAAAATGAGCACTTGAGCAATCACTGCTTGAAAGACTGAACCGCATTCCATAGGACCGGATGAAGGTCGCCCTCCACAAGTCCTACTGGGTTTTGACCCAACAGGATGGTGTACTTCAACACCAAACCGGCCATATCATTCCTGACCTGTGCATCGCCGATCTTGTCGACACGAGCCAGCTGCATTATCAGGAATGTCTCCATTGTGAGTGCTTTAGCATATCTCACAACAAGCTTTGAGTCCTCCATGAGCGTGGTCAGCTTCTCGCAGGAGGAGTGCACCGTCTCCGAGTCACCGTCGTCGAACTTCTCCATCTCCGACTTCAGGGTCGAGAAGACCTGCAAGGCATAACTTCTTATGTAACTGTTTAGCTAGCTAGCTAGCTATTGCAGCAGCATTCTTCGGCGAGATTCTTCAGCTAGCCAAGCAGCTAAGCTAAGCCGCTAAGCACAACAACAGTCACAAGCAGCAGGCACGGAAAGAATACAGAGTTGGGCGAAATGGCTACACTGCTACACATGCATACTTGGACTCATATGATTAGGACCTAAGGCCAGAACTAAGCGCAGCTACCGTTGTCTCGACACCTATGCCCAATGCTCTGGCCCATGAGCCCATCCACTGCCCTATCCACATCGGACAAGCCGTGGCCCGTCGCAGAACACCAGCACAATAGAAACTATGGTTCAAACTTGAAGGCACAGCAGATCAAGTAGACTAAGTCGAAGAATGTAGATATGTATAGCTGTGTAATATTTACAGGACTCAACTAGAAGGCGAAGAGACTGTCAAGTCTACAAATAGTAAGTACATAAAGTAATGAGAAAAACGCTAGCCTCCAGCATCTCATCACAGCACTTCCTCAACTTGGGGCCGTCCATCTTCTGCATGCCGACTGTCGCCATCTGCTTGCGCAATCCCGGGATATCGCACTCGTCTGGAACATCCTTGCGCCAGAATTTGTCTCCGGCTTCACTGAATCCCAGGGTTAGCTCCTTCATCTCCTCCACCGCAGTCTTGAGCGAGGCCATCCGCTGCGCGAAGTAGGTTGCGACAGCATCGCCGTAGGTCACACTGCTCCGATACGACAGGCGCTTGTGGACCTCGAGAGAGGCAAGCAACAACATGGCCTCCGTGGCCGCATCCTCGCCGTCCCCTTGGCTCTCCTCCGTGCCGAGCCCCTGCTTCAGCTTGTCCCGTGCCTGGTTTAGGGCCTAGGGCCTAGGGGCTGCACGGGTTAACAACGAGGGTTTTAGCGGTTAGCGGTATAGGTTTGGGGCTTGGTCGGTTAGGTTACGGCGGTAAGCTTACCCGGTGAGGGCTCGAGTTCAGGTTTCTGGTTAAGTCTAAGTTTATGGCTTTGGGTTTAATGTTTAAGCTTCGCAACCTTCATAGGAGAATTTTATAAGGTCCCGTGCTGCGCCTCCAGGAAACCGCTTTCGAAAGCCGCACACTTGGCTTTGCCGGCCTTCACAGCATTCAGCTTGGTGATGCTGCGAGAGGCTTCCGGGCTCGCCGCCAAAGTCGCATGGGCAAAGGCCCACGACACTCCGGCCGTCAACAACTGCGTGCTCGAGGAAACAAACGCAATCATTTCCGGCATAGCTGCGAAGATGCACTTCGTCACACTGAGGATGATGGGCAGGGCAAACTTGACCGCGGCAAGGGGGGTAGTCTTGCTTTTGTCCTCTGCCGCCTGCTCCGGCACCTCCTCACTTGCATCCGTGACCTGGTCCGAAATGGAGAACATGAAAACGAAAACCAGAAAAAAACAACACAACCCACAAGGACATGCCTCGGTCGTGTCGGATGTGTTTCGTATGTCATTACACACTGGCTCGATCATCTTCTGATTCTGTCAGCTGTGCTGTACTGCACTCATCATGTTTTCTATCGGTAAATCATAAGTCCCACTTGGGACTCAGGCTTGGGGCTTAGGGCCTACGGCTTGGGAAGAAACCTCTACTATTGTAATTCAACTGGGACACCTATGTACAAACATGGCAGAAAGTTTCAGTGCATCATCACTATCATTATGGCCATGGCCTCGCACACACCATAGCATCGCAAGCACTGCGCACTACAAACTCTGGGGGCATCAAAAACATCACAGCTTCAGGTGGACATATCTGCTGGCACAATGCGACAAAATAGGGCATTGGATGTTCGCCAACAATTGCATGACACTCCTGTTTTTGAAGTCTTATATAAGCTTTCAGCCTCCTTTAACCAAACGACTTTAACACTGCAAACACGAGCCTTGTCGATGCACTGCAGCAATGCCCTTTGCAAGAAATTGGCACAGGCAATCTGGTAGCGGATTCTGTCCTTCGGGGTGAGCTCCAAGCGAGCAACACCAAGCTCCCTGACCGCCTGGAAGTCAATGTTGCCCCGGGAGCTTTCCTCAAGGAGCTTGAGCAAAGCCTGAGCGTTCCGCTGCGATTTGTTGTCTTCCATCCACTGCTTGACATCGTCGAGCATCGTCGGCACTTCCGCGATGTGCCCAAACTTGTTGAGCAGGCCTGTGATGCAAGAGATCTTGTCCGCACTGGGGGCCTCTTCCTGCAACATGTGCCGGGCAACTTTCAGTGTGACCCGGCAGAGGTCAGCCTGGAGCACTGAAAGTTCTTTCTCACGCAAGCCCTTCTCGACACCGCCGAAGAGCTCGCTCGCACGGGACAGCGTGCTCCCGCCGATGCTTCCAGCAGGGCTGGCGTCTGCTTTCTCGATCAAGTCCTGCAGCTCGGCGTAAGAACCTTCAATCACCGGTCGTGAGCCAGCAACCTTGGCAACCTCTGCCACTTGTGATGACCACCAGCCCGTTGTCAACAGAGCCTTCAAGGTTCTCACAAAGGTGTCACGGCCTTTGAAGTTCACGATGTGGAAGACATCCTTGCTCTCGGTCGCCACCGGTGCGTCGCCACTATCCTTCCAACCATGAAGATGCAAAATGCATGCACCGATGTCGCGGATTGCCTGCATTGTCTCTGCAATAGGCTTCAAGAAGTTGTGCTCCCAAGACTTGCAAACGGCTTCCATGCGAGCATGAAACTTGAGCATGAACCCGAAAATCACAACCATGAACTCGCGGGAGGATTCGCCGAGCTCGAAGATCGAGACAAAGTCCGTGCACTTAAACAGGTCCCTCAGGTGCTTCGCCAGGGCCTGCACTTGCTCACTTGCAATATGAACATAAACAAGCCGAGTCGCCTTAAATACAATGTGTCGTGCAGTCAACCTACCAGACTGGTTACCGGTTACCGGTTACCGGACCTAGGAGGGCCTTCAGGGTTTAGACGGTTTAGAGTCTAGAGTTTCGAAAGTTGGCCGAGTGTCCATTCCTTCGGCAGCTGTTCCAGTCACGCTACGGAACGATTCTGTTGTTGAGTGTCATCGTGCACGGCAACAACAACCACTCTGGATATTAGGGCTTAGGGCCTTAGTGTTTAGAAGTTGAGGGTTTTCGGCTCACGATGTGTAGAGTAGATTTATGTAATCGACAATTGATTTCTCAAGTTTGAGGCTTGCTGCTTGCTGCAAACTGCAAATTGTCCTGGCAGAGACGCCTGTTTGATCGTGTTTGCGGCGGTTTGGGGGCCGTCGCCTGCCGGACAAGCTGTTTCTTGAACCCTCAACGCCAGGATACAAAACATATGCGACAGGTTCCCCTTATCCGAATCGCACTTTTCCTTTGGTTTCTCATTTCTCGTTTCAACGACATGAAAACTTTCCGAAGTGGTTTGTGGAGTTGTGCCGTGGTCGACGGACCCACGAATGTAGCCTGCATTAGCTAGTGACAGCTAGTGCTGGGCACTGATGGCAGCAGCATCCGCAACAGCAGACACCCACAGCAGCATGGCAATCATACTAATGTTAGCAGTTAGCCAGTTAGCACACACACACACACACACCCACACACCCACACCCACACTGACCCACACACCCACACACCCACACAGACACACACACACACACACACACACACGTCCGTGCGCACACACACACACACACGACACACACACACACACACACACAAACACACACTCACACACACCCACACACACACACACGCACACACACACACACACACAAACACACACACACACACACACACACACACACACACACACACACACGCACAACCTGCGGGACTGTACATACCCTGTACTGTACACTGACCTCAATGCAACTGTCTGGGCATCCCCCCGGCAATCGTTCTCTAGTGACTCTAGTAACTCTACTACTCTCTAGCAGAGTCCAAATGATGAGAGGTCCGTTTGGTCAGTAGCATGAGCAACATGAGCAACAGTGTACTCCACGTTACAGTTTCACCCGAAGTGGCGAGCCCAAATTTGCTTCGTCAGCTGCATTCTGCATAGTGGCACATCGCATGACCATGACAATACAATACTGGGTACCGGTCAGTACCAGCTACTGCTACTGTGCACCAGAAACAACTCAATATGGCAAACTGTGTCCCACCATGGAGGACCTCTGCACTGCTGGCCAACTCAGCAGCCTTTAGCTGCTGAATTTCCTCCTGCTCCGTCTTTGGCACCTTGCTCTTGCTCTTCGGGTCGTCGTCCTCATCCAGCATGATCGGCAGGCCTGCATCCTCAAGATCAGCCATGTCATTCAGCATGAGGAGGAGCGTTGCCTGAAAAGTCGGGGCATCACCCTGAAACTCTGCATCCTGATCACCCAAGGCCAAAGGCTCCGGATCCCATTGAAAGAACTTGGTGAAAGCCTTGCAGGCATCTCTCCACGCAGCATCGGTCGACGAGTCCGAGGCAAACCGAATGGACTTCTGGAACAGCTTGCAAGCTTCAGAAAATGCTTCCAAAGCATGCCGGTTTGTGATCCTGAGCTGGAGCACAAAGGGGTACTTGGCCCAGTACTCTTGTGTCTGCCCCACATGGCACTTCAGCATCTCAAACTTCATGGTTTCGATGTTGCCGGCGGAAATTGAAACCAAGTGCTCGCACAACAAAATCCGCTCGGAGAGCAGACTGCCCTCTGGGTGCTTGTCTTTTTTGAGCGAGTCCAAGATTTTTTTGGCCTCGGTGAAAGCGAAAGTGTAACCCGCAACAATCCAACAATCGGCTGGGTTTCGAAAATACAGAATCCGACTACTATATTGTATTCAACACATCAGCCTAGACTCTAAACTCTAAGCAGCTTCAAACCACAGCTTTACTGCCTCACAAGTTTCAACAAATATTGACAAAAGCCGTTGCATTCGTGACTGGCTGACTGGTTATACTAATGACAAGTGAATCACTCAGGATCAATCACTAAGTCACTCATGTTACTGAACTGATAGTGCTATGCATACTTTTACTGATTTGAATGGTCACTGGTCACTACTCACTAGGACTACGGCGCACTATAGTAGTATATACAAATATTTTTATATGTACTATATTCATGGCCAACGACAAATGACAAATGCTAGTGCTAGTGACGAAAGACTAATGGTTGCAAATGACTGACCAACGATTAATGATTAATAATGCGGCAATGCTGCTTAGCAGAGTTGCTTATGGTGCTTGTGTCAAGCCTGTGTGTGTTGGTTGCTTAGGCTCACCATCACCAATCATCACCAATCTCGGAGCTGTTGGGAAAGTTGAAACTCGTGGGTCGTGGGTATGACATGTATGACTGTATCAAGTATATGGCATTGTGGCATCGTTACACATCTGACTTTATTTTCCAACGAAACTTCCGTTAGCGCGCGTTTGGGGAACCCTAACTGCGCTGCAGAGAGAACCCTGTGCAAAACACTCTCTTTTTTCTCCTAGCGGACATGGGGGGTCGGTTCGGGCCCGATCTTCGGGCTCTGACGAAACGATGCCACTGGCATTTCAAACCAAAACTCGACCGCTGGTCGATGGTAAGGCGAACGACTGGTTCACCCCCCCTACCAGGGAAAAACCCGTACCACGGGGAGATAAAGTGAAACATGCTAGGACCTACTGGGTCACTGCAGCTACCAGTTGCTACTCTGTAGTTGCACGGCCTACGGCCTATGTACAAAATCGCACTCTGTGCTGAAGTCTCTCCGCGGGAGAGAGCATAGGAGCGCTGCTCCTGGCAGCTCTGCTGCCGAAGCGGTGTCCCGGACCCCGCATACTATACAGGGTGTGGTGGGTGGGACAAAAACTTTTTGGATCACAGATCCAACTCCAAGCCGAAAGCTGCACGGCAAAGTTTGTCTAGTGTCACTCACACACAAGTGAAAACACTGTTTTCCTTTTTCGACAAACTTTGTCTACACTTTCGGCGGAAAATAAAACCCATTCACGCACGCATGATGGATGCTTATTTTCCAACGAAACTTCCGTTAGCGCGCGTTTGGGGAACCCTAACTGCGCTGCAGAGAGAACCCTGTGCAAAACACTCTCTTTTTTCTCCTAGCGGACATGGGGGGTCGGTTCGGGCCCGATCTTCGGGCTCTGACGAAACGATGCCACTGGCATTTCAAACCAAAACTCGACCGCTGGTCGATGGTAAGGCGAACGACTGGTTCACCCCCCTTGAAGGCACTCGAAGCCTTACTCACCCCCCATCTAGTCCGCGCCGAGTGACAAAGCCAACGACACTGCGTTGGGCGGCAGGTATTGGCGCGCTGCGCCTAGCCGCTCTGTCTCTTCCCACCAGTCTCTGCTGGGGCCATCAGCTATGTTGCTGTCTGTGGGGACTCGAAAGAAAGCAGCCCTGCACTGAAGG